TATATGCACAATACAACATATACTTCTCATATTCATTTGCTTTGTGCCATGCTATCTACATAGGACTTCGATGCATCACGTGAGATCATATCTTTTTGTAATGCCGTACCAAACAAACACGATTAGGATTCGTATAGTCAATTTATCGAACGGGATCTTTGTATTCGTATGAATTATCTGCATATATTATGTATAGGATGATAAGATTTTCAATTCTGACTTCTGAGACTAATATACCAGCAGCACTTATCGTGGAAGAAATCAGGAAATTGTGTTTCCGTAAAATATTGGTATATTATATTGGTACATCGATTTTATATATTATGGTTGATATTATAAGTCGGGCAAGTCTCCTCGATCGTATAATAAAATATAAAGACATATTAAATAATATTATGGATCGAGCTTAAAGAGAAAGAATATTATATAATTTTTATGTTGCCTAGAATAGATGGTCAYAGCTCGGGGACAACTGACCATGGGAAATAATTAATAAAGACACAATTCGTTTCGTCTGTTATTTAAAACACCYATCAGCTTATTTAAATACGTATCTAACTATATTATAGTATGTATTGTTATTTATATTGTTTTTTTCCAATACAATATTGCACCCCTGATACATCATTCTTTCTCGCACAAAGTGTACACCGAAAACCAATGTCTGRTCGCTCGAACTTTTGTATAATAGTTCTTAGCACAGATATGCTGCTCACCGGGAAATTCACAGAYAGATTTTTTGTCTGATTTCGTCAAAATACTTACACAACAGTCTTTATTTGTACATAACCATTTTATAAAACCATCTTTTCTTTGTCACCTAAATCGATATATTTTATTTGTTTTGAGTAGAATTAACTCTTTACCACGTTTTGATAAAATAATTTGACAGTCTTCCATAGTTTAATAAAAACACTATAATATAATAGAACTTATAGAACACTATAACTACTGTCTACGAGTGTGTATTTATTATTGCAGTATTCAACAGAAATTACTTGTAACTGCATACTACATTTAATATTTGAATACGCTCAGAATTCCCACATTATCGAACTATTATTTATACATTKATACATTTGGAAACATGTGTTCGCAATCGTGTAATTTTTGGGGGTTCATCATTAAACTATAATCTATTGCAATCGTGTTATTAAAAAGGTCGTCCTGTAAGACCCGTCCACATTCGTTCATCACCGAGTGGAACATAGATGCAATAATGGGTATTGGGTACATATATGAATATTAACATTATGACCGTTTGAAGCGTTTAAAGCAACGATCCGCAAACATAAGAAAAGTGTAAACCTGATTAGAGTTTGAAATTAAAAAAAAACTTTTGATGGTATARGTATGTGAGAGTTGACGAGTAATGTACTTATATAGGTAGAATGTAGATGTATCAAACCTCAGAAACGTATTTAAAAAATATTATATTCGACTCTGCCGAGGTTCATTTAAACTGCAGAGCAAAATTATATATTATGTTATAAAGATCCACTACTACTACGAAAAATATTCGACGGAAAGTCGGAAAGTACGCCTAAAAGAGTGCGCGCCAATTGATGAAAACTCGAAAAATTTTCATGAATCCGACATGAATATATTATAGTAATGTGGTGATAATCAAATCCACGGCCATGGCTCCCGGCGCTTATCGTGCCAATATAAAATAATAAGTACTATGA